AAAAAAAAAAAAAAAAAGAAAAAAATTTCCAAATTGCTGTCCAATTGATCATGCAGAAAGCAGGCTATGCTCTGAGAAAGGCTAAATCAAATAGCCTCACAGTAGCCAGGTGATGTCACAGTGACCATGGTGCACTCTTCCCTGGCATGGCACCACTTCAAGGAAGTGGCATCTATTTGGGCAATGTGTCCAGTCCCACACTCCAGAGACTTAGCATGAGGCTCCCTCTGTACAGTGGTGAGAGTAAAAGTAGTCCAAGGAAACTGCTGGAGAGATTTTTTTTTTTAAAGGAAAAGAAAAGGGCAAGAGTCATGTGGCACTTCTACTGTGGTGCAGGCGTCTTGAGTCAGCCCTCAGCTCCGAGGCAACAAGGCAAATTCTAACACTTTAAAGGGTGACATGAAAATGACTCTTTCTTGGCTACACTGACGTGTATGTTTCTGCTTCAGGGTAAGCCCCTCTGTTTGGTAAACCACCTGTTCAAAAAACTGTGACTGTGGAAATCAAATTCAGCTAAATCACAGGGGAACAGATAACATAAGCAAAATTTCACTACTTTATAATTAGGAGTTGTACTTGGTCCTTAAAATTACTTAGAGGTCTGTTTCAGAATTAAAAACACAGAAATCAAGAAAACATGGTCAATTTCCTTTATAATCCTAGAGAGTAAGGCTTTTTCTAACTATGTCTCAAAATCCAGAAGCCGTAAAAGAAACTGATTAATTTAATTATATAAAAGTAGCCAGGCGTGATGGCTCACACCTGTAACCCCAGCACTTTGAGAGGCTGAGGTGGGTGGATCACTTGAGGTTAGGAGTGCGAGACCACCCTGGCCAACATGGTAAAACCCCATCTCCACTAAAAATACAAGAATTAGCCGGGTGTGGTGGCAGGCACCTGTAATCCCAGCTACTTGGGATACTGGGGCAGGAGAATTGCTTGAACCTGGGAGGCAGAGGTTGCAGTGAGCCGAGATCGTGCCGCTGCATCCAGCCTGGGCGACAGAGACAGACTCTGTCTCAAAAAAAAAAAAAAAAAATTATATACAAGTAAAAAATTTATGTGTGTCAAAAAATATCATAGGCAAAATCAGAAAAGACAAATGAGGAACTTTCTGGTGGGCAGATCAGACTGCCTACATCTGAGCCCACTGATCAGTAGGACAGGGATGACCATAAGAGGCAACAGGAAGCATATAGCACCACTCATTAAGTGTTCTTCCCAGAACAGTGAATCTGAAAGTGATCAAACCTCTAAACTGAACTACCAGTCTATGCGAAATACGTGACAGAGAAACACGCTAACAGAAAGGAGACACAATCAGCAAAAAATCTAGAATGTAGGAGACTCCACAGGGCAAATGATCCAATTTCTTCAACAAAATAAATTGCAAAGGGGGTATTACATGTTATGAGACACTTAAGAATTCCATCAACCAAAATTACAAATACATTGTCCCTCTGACCCAGCAATCTCATTTCTGGGAATCCTTAGACACACTTGCACATGTATAAAATGAAGCAGGCACAGCATCATTCACAGTATCACTAACAGCAAATCTGGAAGCAACCCAAGGATCCATATGTAGTGACTGGTTAAATAAATTAAGGCACAGTCACACAGTGGAATACACGTAGCCATAAAACGAGTGGGAAAGCTTTCTTGGTACTGATACAGAAGAGGACCAGGACAATATTAAATGAAAAAACCCAAGGAATAAAGCAATTGATAAGATGTGCTATCTTTCTGAAAGAAAGGACAAAAATAGGTCAGGTGGCGTGGCTTATGCCTATAATCCCAGCACTTTGTGAGGCCAAGGTGGGCGGATCACTTGAGGTCAGGAGTTCAAGACCAGCCTGGCCAATATGGTGAAACCCCGTCTCTACTAAAAATAGAAAAATTAGCTGGGCATGGTGGTGGGTGCCTGTAATCACAGCTACTTGGGCGGCTGAGACAGGAGAATTGCTTGAACCCAGGAGGCGGAGGGTGCAGTGAGGCGAGTTTGGACCACTGCACTCCAGCCTGAGCAAAAGAGCGAGACTCCGTCTCAAAGAGAGAAAAAAAAGAAGGGAGAAAAATAAGAATTTGTGTTCGTCGAGACTCCATCTCAAAGAGAAAAAAAAAAAAAAAAGAAAAATAAGAATTTGTGTTCATATTTTATTGTTTGCATAAAAATCCACTGGAAGGCCCGGGGCACTGGCTCATGCCTACAATCCCAGTACTTTAGGAGGCCGAGGCGGGTACATCACTGAGGTCAGGAGTTCGAGACCAGCCTGACAAACATGGCGAAAACCCATCCCTAAAAAAAAATACAAAAAATTAGTCGGGCATGGTGGCAGGCGCCTGTCATCCCAGCTACTTGGGAGCCTGAGGCAGGAGAATTGCTTGAATCCAGGACGTGGAGGTTGCAGTGAGCCGAGATCACGCCATTGCACTCCAGCCTGGGCATCAGAGCAAGACTCTGTCTCAAAAAGAAAAAAAAAAAATTCACTGGAATTTACAAAGGAAACTAATAAAAGTGGTTGTCTATAGGATGAAGGGGTGAGGGGAGTGGAAAATTCAGTGGAAGGGGACAAGAATGAGTGTAAGACTTCCCAATGTGTACTATTTTCTGTTATTCTGATTTATGAACAATGTGACTATATCATCTACATACAGATAGATATCTTTGTGTGTGTGTGTGTGTGTGTGTGTGTGTGTGTGTGTGTGTATAAAATAAATAGGGCTGGGCGCGGTGGCTCACACCTGTAATCCCAGTACTTTGGGGGGTCAAGGCAGGTGGATCACTTGAGGTCAGGAGTTCAAGACCAGCCTGGCCAACCAACATGATGAAACCCCGTCTCTACCAAAATACAAAAAATTGGCCAGGCATGGTGGTGCATGCCTATAATCCTAGCTACTCAGGAAGCTGAGGCAGGAGAATTGCTTGAACCTGGGAGGCGGAGGCTATAGTGAGCCAAGATCACGCCATTGCACTCCAGCCTGGGTGACAGAGCAATACTCTGTCTCAAAAAAAAAAAAGAAATGGGTATCATCTACTATAACTATATAAAATTTAATTATCTGAATAACAATCTGATAATCTGGTTGGGTGCGGTGGGGTGGATTACTTGAGGTCAGGAGTTTGAGACCAGCCTGGCCAACATGATCAAATCCCATGTCTACTAAAAATAGAAAAATCAGCCGGGCATGGTGGCTGGCGCCTGTAATCCCAGCTACTTGCGAGGCTCTGGCAGGAAAACTGCTTGAACCTGGGAGGCGGAGGTTGCAGTGAGCTGAGATCAAGCCACTGCACTTCAGCCTGGGTGACAGAGCGAGACCCTATCTCAAAAAAACACACACAAAAAAACCAGAAAATCCCAATCTGATAATTTAATGATAAATGGATCATGAAGATGAATGAGAGAAACGAGAGAAATATTCTGGCATCAGTTCTAGGAGTTTCCTGTGACTCTCCAATAGCCCTTTGGGCCCCCAGCGTGAATCAGCACCTACCTCCATGAAAAAGATATCTCCATTTGTATCTGTCCCTGCATGTACCACAAATGTCTGCTTCTTCATATGCCGGCTGCCACTGGACCAGATAGAGAGATCGCGTCCATTCTGATGAAAGAGATTTTTTTGAGACAGTCATACATCCCTCTCAAGAGGGCTCTGGGCCAAGAATTCCCCATCCAGCAATCAAATTCATATCAGTTTCCTCAGCACAGTCTCATCTGCTGGCCACTGGTCACCCGGGAAGTGGTTTCAGATGTTTTGGTCTCAGAAGCCCCATATCTCTTAAAATTTATTGAAGATTCCAAAGAGCTTTTGTTTATGTGAGTTATAGATATTTACATACTAGAAATTTAAACAGAAATTTCTCAAATAATTATAAAAACAATTAATAATTCATTAATAACCCATTACATAGTAATATAAACATTTTTAAGAACTATATTTTCTAAAAAAAAAAGGCACCATTTCACATTTTTGCAAATCTCTTTAATGTTTGACTTAACAGCAAATAGCTGCATTCTCCTATCTGCTTCTGCATTGAGTCTGTTGCAGTATGTTGCTTTGGTTGAGGTATATGAAAAAAACGACCTAACAGTTACGTATTTGGAAAATGGAAGAGGATTTTCATAGCCTTTTCAGATAAATAGACGTATTCTTTTTTTAACACTATACCAGAACTTGAGAAATAGCAGCTTCTTTTTTTTTAGAGACAAGGTTTCGCTCTGTCACCCAGGCTGGAGTTCAATGGCATGACCATAGCCCATTACAGCTTTGAACTCCTGGGCATAAGTGACACTCCTGCCTCAGCCTCCCAAGTACCTGGGATTACAGGCATAAATCACAACACCCAGCAACAGCAGCTTTTGAAAGTCAGCTGCAGTGTGGAATCTGAAAGCACATCAATGAACACTTTACACTATTACATTAAAATCCATTTAGGCCAGACATGGGGGCTCATTCCTATAATCCCAACACTTTAGGAGGCCAAGTCGGGAGTACTGTTTGAGCCCAGGCAGGAGTTGGGAGACCAGCCTGGGCAACAGTGAGCTCCTATTCTCCATACATCTTTTTTTTTTTTTTTTGAAACAGGGTTTCATTCTGTCACCCAGGCTGGAGTGCAGTGGTGCGATCGTGAATCATGGCAGCCTCAACCTCCTGAGCTCAAGTGACCTCAGCTTCCCAAGTAGCTAGGACTACAGATGCATGCCACCGTGCCTGGCTGATTTTTTTATTTTTTGTAGAAATGGGGTCTCCGTTGGCTGGGAGTGGTGGCTCACACCTGTAATCCCAGCACTTTGGGAGGCCGAGGTGGGTGGATCACAAGGTCAGGAGTTAGAGACCAGCCTAACCAACATGGTGAAACCTCGTCTCTACTAAAAATATAAAAATTAGCTGGGCGTGGTGGCGGGGGCCTGTAGTCCCAGCTACTAGGGAGGCTGAGACAGGAGAATGACATGAACCCGGGAGGCAGAGCTTGCAGTGAGCCGAGATGGCACCACTGCACTCCAGCCTGGGCGACAGAGCGAGACTTCGTCTCAAAAAAAAAAAAAAAAAAAAGTATAATCAATCAATTTAATAAAAGTAACAGTTTTCACTGCTTCTTCAAGGACATTTATAAGCACAACTAGCATTTTTAAAAAACTAAGAGTGTAAGCCAGGTGCAGTGACTCACGCCCGTAATCCCAGAACTTTGGGAGGCTGAGGCAGGCAGATCATTTGAGGTCAGGAGTTCGAGATCAGCCTGGCGAATGCCCGTCTCTACTAAAAATACAAAAATTAGCCAGGCATGGTGGTGCATGCCTGTAACTTCAGCTACTCAGGAGGCTGAAGCAGGAAGACTGCTTGAACCCACAAGGCAGAGACTGCAGTGAGCCAAAGTTGCACCATTGCACTCCAGCCTGGGCAACAAGAGAGTGAAACTCTGTCTCTCTCTCCCTCTCTCTCTCTCGCGCGCGCTCTCTCTCTCTCTCTATATATATAAATAAATCAGTTGGGTGTGGGGCACACGCCTGTAATCCCAGCTACTCGGGAGGCTGAGGCATGAGAATCGCTTGAACCTAGGAGGTGGAGATTGCAGTGAGCCAAGATTGCGCTACTGCACTCCAGCCTGGGCGACAAAGTGAGAGTCTGTCTCAAAAAACAAACAAAACAAAAATAAAAAACTGAGAGTGTATCGAGGCAAGGAATACAATGGCTGCTGGCATAGTTTGGGGCCATTGTCTTCACTTGGGTTAAAGTGCCAGCAGTTGTACCCACCACTGCTTTGGTACCATCAGTGCAAACGTAACCCTATGAAAATGGCAAATAACATTTTAGAATAATTTGAAATAGTTTTCACCTTCTGAATCCTCAGCAGTCCAGACCACACATCAAAACTGATGCACTATGATAGTTTTATACAGAGAATCCCATCACAGAACACAGGGACTAATGCCTCATTTAGAGTCAAAGACAACTGCTCCATTTGCAAAATCAGCGGTAAACTGGACTGGAAGTGACACAAACCAAGAAACGACCCATGGGAAGCCTAAGGGGTAGCCAGATGTGCTTACCAGGTTCGCCAGCTGATCAAGCACCTCATTGATTTGCTGGCTGTACACAAGCCCAATGTGCGACTTTCCCATTAGGCGCCTCACCTTCTTGCGGATGTCATTCTTATTTACCTGAAAAGCCAAAACAGGACTCTTAACAAGGGATCTGCTCTCCTCTCGACTGAGGTAGAGAGAAGAGAATGTACAAGTGGGTTTCCCACCATCTGAGAGAAGTGAAATTCTGAAAGACCACATCACTGAACAAGGGAGAAAACTTTCAACTGTGTATTCTGCCACCATGAGGGGAAGAAAAGTCCTGGCTCTGTCTCTAGTTAGCTTCTGCAGAAAAGTGGCTCTCAGAGCAGTTCTGGTTCCAGAGGACACTTTCTCCCTATCCCCACTCAATACCACAACATTCACCCCTACAAGGGCTCTGAAAACCCCCAAGGCTCTTCATAGTGTAATTCAGAAATGACTTAGAGTGGCAACACCAGACTGGGTTGTAGCTAAGACATCTCTGAAGGTTAGGGATCATCATCCTTTCCCAGCCAGAGTCAACCAGTACCCTCCAAATTCCAGAGTACAGTGAAACTTATACCAGGAAATGAAGCAAACCAAGAGGGGCTGGGGGCATTCTCTGCATTTGATCAACTGATCCCTTCACACTTAGGGAGGTTGGGGAGAACAAAAGGAGGAGAAACCCAGTGGCTCCTTCTCCAAACAATTCTCTTCTACCCATCAACTCCAGACTTATGTTTCCCTTTGAGAGCAGAACTCTTCTACTTGGTAACATATGTCTTCCACAGCCACAAAACCAAGTACAACATACCAAGTTCTATCTACTATTACTTTGTTAATGGCTGGCTCTTCTTATAACTATGGAAAATTCTGTAAGATATAGGGCTGTCCTGAAAAACAAAATCTGAGCATCGTTTCTTTTTTTTTTGAGATGGATTTTCACTCCTGTTGCCTAGGCTGGAATACAATGGTGCGATCTCAGCTCACTGCAACCTTCTTCTCTAGAGTTCAAGCGATTCTCCTGTCTCAGCCTTCCAAGTAGCTGGGATCAGAGGCGTGAGCCACCATGCCCAGCTAACTTTTGTATTTTTAGTAGAGACAGGATTTCACCATATTGGTCAGGCTAGTCTAGAACTCCTGACCTCAGGTGATCCATCTGCCTTGGCCTCCCAAAGTGCTGGGATTACAGGCGTGAGCTCATGCACTCCTGGTCCTGAGCATCCTTTCTAAGTTTTAAAAATCTACTACTGTAAAAAAGAAAAATTAATTCATTGTATTTTGTGGGAAGCTCTACTGGCATCCTAAAACTACTCAGTAAAGGGAGACCATATAAATCTCAAAATAAACAAATAATGGCTGGGCATGGTAGCTCCTGCCTGTAATTCCAGCACTTTGGGAGGTTGAGGCAAGAGGATCACTTGAGGTCAGGAGTACGAGACCGGCCTGGCCAAAATGGTGAAACCCCATCTCTACTAAAAATAGAAAAATTAGCTGGGCGTGGTTTCAGACGTCTGTAATCCCAGCTACTCAGGAGGCCGAGGCAGGAGAATTGCTTGAACCCGGGAGGCAGAGGATGCAGTGAGCCAACACTGTGCCACTGTACTCCAGCCTGGGTGACAGAGTGAGACTCTGTCTCAAAAAAAAAAAAATAAATAAATAAATAAATAAATAAATAAATAGTATGGAATCATCAGTTCTTGGCCAGGTGCAGTGGCTCATGCCTGTAGTCCCAGCATTTGGGAGGCCAAGGCGGGTGGATCACCTGAGGTCAGGAGTTGGGGACCAGCCTGGCCAACATGGTGAAACCCCATCTCTACTAAAAATACAAAAACTAGCTGGGTATGGTGGTCTGCACCTATAATCCCAGCTACTGGGGAGGCTGAGGTTGCAGTGAGCTGAGATTGCGCCACTGCACTCCTACCTGGGCAACAGAGCAAGACTCTGTCTCAAAAAAAAAAAAAAGAGAATCATCAGTTATTTCTACAACACTCCTTAGTAAAACAGGCTGGCAGCTTCAGAGAAACAGAACATTGCTAAGCTGGCAGAGAGGCCTCAGACTTTCAATCAAGAAGACAGCCCTAAGTAAGATACCTTGACAGCTTCCCAGCTGCCCCGAAATTCAGGTGACAAGAACAAGCCTTGCCCTTCTAGCATCAGTGGAGCTGGACACAGCAAAATGACATTACCTTCATCAGCAGCATGTAGGAGATGAGGTTGTGCAAAAGGGTGGCCAGCAAGCGATCTTCATCATCTTCCAGGCGCTTCCGGTCATGTTCTCCCAGGGACAGGTACCTAAGCAGAAGACAAAGCACAAGTCAGCCCTCAAGTGGGAGACCACGGAACTAACCAGGAGGAGGCTGAGTCTGCATATTCCCAATGGTTTCCTAAGCCCCATACCTGTCGATCATTTCCTGGGGACCCTGGTCCATACCCATGCCTTCTCTCTCCAACATCACAGCATCTAAGAAGGCATCTTCCCAGAATTGCATTTGGTCCCATAAAGTAGAACGCTCTTTGCCTGCGTAGAATAAAGGTTTCTTAGGGGACCTATTTAACATTTAAGAATATAGCTGCCGAACAAAAATAAAGAGTAAAATCCAGATAAAAGGGAATAATTACAAATTCCAGGGCAAAGCAAACACAATCTCTCTACCCCAGATCTAACATGCCTGCCACCAGCCCCAGATGCCTTCAAGTAAGGCCCAGTCCCTCCCAAGGAGGAGGGATGAACACAGCACACAAATAAATGTGGTTACTTATAGAAAAGGTCTCCATAGCTGCATCCTCTAACTGGTCCCACATGGATCCTTTGTCCCTTCCTGCCAATTTGAGAGCAGGAAGAACCATGGTAGCAAGAAAGGAAAGAAAGGAAGACAGAAAGGCAGAGGCTGTTGATTAGCACCAAAACCCAATCTTGTCCAGTTTTCACCCACTGCTTGTTCTGGACACAGTAAGTCGCTTGCTTCAGGTATAAAACTGCTATCTAATGTCAGCATTGAGATCGGCAGAAAGCCAACCAGCTACTTGTTCAGTGTGACCCTCTCCCCTGGCTGAGCCAGCTTTCTCCAGTGCAAAGGGCCTTCCCAGTGTGTTTCTCACCTAGGAGTCCCTCATAGAGATAGACTCGCTGGCTCACATCTTCAGAAGTGCGAATGGGGCTGCCTGCCAGCTTCTCCTTTACGCTTGGCTTCAAGCTATGGGCTTTACCCTAGAGAGAAGAGATGATAGGTCAGTGGCCGAGGTAGCAATGAACAGGGGCAAAGGAAACCAAGCATTTCACTAAGAGGCTGTCACACCAGTCACCATCCATTAACAACATAAACTCCAGTACCCATGCTTCTGCAAGTCCACTTACGCTGCTTTCTGTTACTGCCTCCTAAACTATACAATAAAGTTTTCATTTTTGACTTATCTTTACTCCTTAGTCTCTGTAAGATTATTTTCTCTTTAAAGCAACAACAATAACAATCAGATTAATTCTCTGTGTAGTTACGTAACACAGCAGAAAGAACCCAGGGTTTACCATCAGACTGACTAAGGCTCAGATCCCTGCCTCTTATTAGCTTATGTGACCTTAGGTACAAAAATCAGCTTCTCTGAGCCTCATTTTCCTAATCTGTCAAAGGAAGGTTATAATACCTACCTCATAGGACTACTTTACAAGAATTAAATTTGAAGATACATAAAAAGCACCTAACAGTGCCTAGCACAAGGCTAGTAATTGAGAAATGTTCATTTCTTCTTTCCTATCTTTTACTGTCCCTAAGAAATATCACTAACTTCATCTGCTACTGCTGAATAGATTTTCTATTCATTAAAAGATTTTCAGCCGGGTGCAATGGCTCACGCCTGTAATCCCAACACTTTGGGAGGCCGAGGTGGCTGGATCACCACGTCAGGAGATTCAGAGTTCCTGGCTAACATGGTAAAATCCCGTACCTATTAAAAACACAAAAAATGGGAGGCCGAGACGGGCGGATCATGTGGTCAGGAGATCGAGACCATCCTGGCTAACACGGTGAAAACCCGTCTCTACTAAAAAAAATACAAAAAACTAGCCGGGCGAGGTGGCGGGCGCCTGTAGTTCCAGCTACTTGGGAGGCTGAGGCAGGAGAATGGCGTGAACCCGGGAGGCGGAGCTTGCAGTGAGCTGAGATCCGGCCACTGCACTGCACTGCACTCCAGCCTGGCGACAGAGCCAGACTCCGTCTCAAAAAAAAAAAAAAAAAAAATTAGCCAGGTGTGGTGGCACACACCTGTAGTCCCAGCTACTTGGGAGGCTAAGGCAGAAGAAACACTTGAAAACCCTGGAGGCGGAGGTTGCAGCGAGCCAAGATCGCACCACTGCACTCCAGCTTGGGCGACAGAGTGAGAGACTGTCTCAAAAAACAAACAAACAAACAAACAAACAAACAAAAAAACACCTAAAAAGAGACAAAGTATATAGTAACAAAGGGATCACTTCAGCAAGAGGATATAACAATTGCAAATACATATGCATTCAACACCAAACAGCTATATAAAGCAAATATTGCAAATATTATTAGATCTAAAGGGAGAGATATACTCCAATACAGTAACAGTTGGGGACTTCAATACCCCACTCTCAGCATTGGACAGATCATCTAGACAGAAAATCAACACAGAAACACCGGATTTAAACTGCATTTTAGATTCAGATTGCATTTTAGACCAAATGGACCTAACAGACATTTACAGAACATTCCATCCAACAGCTGTAGAATACACATTCTTTTCATCAACACCCAGAACATTCTCTAGGACAGACCACATATTAGGCCACGAAATAAGTATAACGAGAAATTTTAGAAAACTGAAATCACAGCAAGTATCTTTTCAGACCACAAGGGAACACTGTGCTCTGAAAATTAGAAATAACAAACTTTTAAAATCATATGAATACATGGAAATTAAACAATATGCTCCTGAGTGACCAATGGGTCAACAAAGAAATTAAGAAGGAAATTTAAAAATGTATTCACACAAATGAAAATAAAAACACAGCATACCAAAACCTATGAGATACAGCAAAAGCAGTATTAAGAAAGAAGCTTATTAGCAATGAATGTCTACATCAAAAAAGTAGGAAGATTTCAAATCAACTTAATGATGCAGCTCAAAGAACTGTGAAAGCAAGAACAAACTAAACCCAAAATTAGTAGAAGAAATAATCAAGGACAGAGCAGAAATAAAATTGAGACTAAAAAAAATAGGCCAGGCATGGTGGCTCACGCTTCTAATCCCAACACTTTGGGAGGCTGAGACAGGTGGATCACCTGAGGCCAGGAGTTCGAGAGCAGCCTAGCCAACATGGCGAAACCCCATCTCTAGTAAAAACACACACACACACAAAAATAGCCGGGTGTGGTGGTCGGCACCTGTTATCTCAGCTACTTGGGAGGCTGAGGCAGAAGAATCACTTGAACCCAGGAGGTGGAGGTTGCAGTGAGCCAAGACTGCACCATTGTGCACTCCAGCCTGGGCAACAAGAGCAAAACTCCGTCTCAAAATAAATAAATAAATAATCAACAAAATGAAAAGTTCATTTTCGTAAAGAGAAACAAAATCCACAAACCATTAGAGTTAGACTAACCAAAAGAGACAGAGAGAGGGAGAGAGAGAGAGAAAGAGAGAGAAAAGACTCCCGCCAAAAAAACACCAAAAACAAAAAAGGAAACATTACAATTGCCATCACAGAAAAACAAAAAATCATTAGGGACTATAACTACATGCCAACAAATTAGAAATGGATACATTCTTAGACATAAACAACCTACCAAGATTTTTTTTTTTTTTTTTTTTGAGACAGAGTCTCGCTGCTGTTGAAGTGGTCACTTTTCTCTAAACAGCTCACTGCAAGCTCCACCTCCCGGGTTTTTACGCCATTCTCCTGCCTCAGCCTCCCGAGTAGCCGGGACTACAGGCGCCCACCACCTCGCCCGGCTAGTTTTTCGTATTTTTTAGTAGAGACGGGGTTTCACCGTGTTAGCCAGGATGGTCTCGAACTCCTGACCTCGTGATCCGCCCGTCTCGGCCTCCCAAAGTGCTGGGATTACAGGCTTGAGCCACCGCGCCCGGCCAAACAACCTACCAAGATTTAACCAAGAAATAGCAACCTGAACAGTCCAATTACAAGTAATGAGATTGAATCTGTAATAAAAAGCTTCCCATCACAGGGCAAGATGGTTAATGCCTGTAATCCCAGCACTTTGGGAGGCTGAGGCAGGCAGATCACTTGAGGCCTGTAGCTCGAGATCAGACTGGCCAACATGATGAAACCCTGTCTCCACTAAAAATACAAAAATTAGCCAGGCATGGTGGTGAATACCTGTAATCCCAGTTACTCAAGAGGCTGAGGTATGAGAATTGCTTGAACCTGAGAGGCAGAAGTTGCAGTGAGCCAACATCACACCACTGCACTCCAGCCTGAGCAACAGAGCAAGACTCTGTCTCAAAAAAAAAAAAGTTGGGCGCAGTGGAGCGCACGGCTGTAATCCCAGCACTCTGGGAGGCCGAGGGGGGCAAGATCACTTGAGGTCAGGAGTTCGAGACCACCCTGGACAACATGGCGAAACCTCGTCTCTACTAAAAATACAAAAAATTAGCTAGGTGTGGTCGTGAGTGCCTGTAATCCCAGCTACTTGGGAGGCTGAAGCAGGAGAACTGCTTGAACCCGGGAGGTGGAGGTAGCAGTAAGCTGAGATTGCACAACTGCACTCTAGCCTGGGCAACAGAGCAAGACTCCATCTCAAAAAAAAAAGAGAAAGAAAGAAAAGAAAGGCTCAGGACCCAATAGCTTCAATGCAAAATTCTAAAAACATGTAAAGAAAAACTAATACCAAATACAAAAGTATTCGATAAAAGTCAACATCCCTTCATGATAAAACCTCTAAAAAAGTTAGGTACAGAGCGAACATACCTCAAAACAATAAAAGTCACATATGACAAACCCACAACCAACATCATACTAAATGGGGAAAAGATGAAAACTTTTCCTCTACGATCTGTAACAAGACAAGGATGTCTACTTCCACCACTTTTATTCAACTGGAAGTGCTAATCAAAGCAACTAGGCCAGAGAGAGAAAGGGCATCCAAATTGGACAGAAGGAAGTCAAAGTGTCCCTCAAAGCGGGCTGGGTATTGTGGTTCACACCTGTTAATCCTAGCACTTTGGGTGGCCAAGGCAGGTGGATTGCTTGAGCCCAGGCGTTCCAGACCAGCCTGGGCAACATGGGAACACCTTGTCTCTACAAATACAAAAATCAGCTGGGCATGGTGACGTATGCCTGTAGTCCCAGCTACTCGAGGGACTGAGATGGAAGGACTGCTTGAGCCCAGTAGGTGGAGGCTGCAGTGAACTGATATTGCACCACTGCACTACTTCAGCCTCATTCTATCTAAAAAAAAAAAAAAAAAAAGAAAAAGAAAGCCCTAAAATCTCCACTAGAAACTCAGAACTAATAAGTGAATTCAATAAAGTTGCCGGATACAAAATCAACATATAAAATCAGTAGTGTGTCTATACACCCCAAAATAAGACAGCAGAGGCCAGGCGCGGTGGCTCACGCCTGTAATCCCAGCACTTTGGGAGGCCGAGATGGGCGGATCACGAGGTCAGGAGATCGAGACCATCCTGGCTAACACGGCGAACTCCGTCTCTACTAAAAAATACAAAAAATTAGGCTGGGCATGGTGGTGGCGCCTGTAGTCCCAGCTACTCAGGAGGCTGAGGCAGGAGAATGCGTGAACCCCGGGAGGCGGAGCTGCAGTGGACCGAGATCACGCCACCTGCACTCCAGCCTGGGCAAACAGAGCGAGACACCATCTCAAAAAAAAAAAAAAATAATTGCCTAAGAATAAATTCAGTGAAGGAGGTAAAAGATCTCCATGAGGAAAAATAGAAAACACTGATGTAAGAATGAGTTTAGGGAAAAGATGTAAAGATATACCATGTTCATGGATTGGAAGAATATTGTGAAAATGACCATACTACCAAAAGTGATCTACAGATTCAATGCAATCCCTACCAAAATACCAATGGTATTCTTCACAGAAATAGAAAAAACAATCCTAAAAATCATATGGAACCACAAAAGACCCCAGATAGCCAAAACAATCCTAGGCAAAAAGGTATCACACTACTAGACTTCAAAATATAAGAGAAAGCCATAGTAACCATAACTGCATGCTACTGGCATAAAAAACAGACCCATAGACCAATGGAACAGAATATAGAACCCAGAAAAAAATCCATATATTTATAGCCAACTGTTTTTTGACAAAGGAACCAAGAATATTCACCAGGGGTAGGGACAGTCTCTTCAATAAATGGTGCTCAGAAAACCTGATATCCATTATTCAGAAAAATAAAACTAGACCCCTACCTCTCACCATACACAAAAATCAACCCAAAATGGATTAAAGACTTAAATATAAGACCCAAAACTATAAAACTACTAGAAGAAAACGTAGCAGAAATGCTTCAGGACATTGGTCTGGGCAAAAAGTTTATGGAGACCTCAAAAGCACAGGCAACAAAAGCAAAAGTAGACAAACAGGATTATATTAAACTAAAAAGCTTCTGCACAACAAAGGACATGATGAACTGAGTGAAGAGACAGTCTGCAGAATGGAAGAAAATATTTACAAATTATTCATCTGACAAGAGATTAATATCTAGAATATACAAGAAACAAAGAACTCAACAGCAAAAAAACACAATCTATTAAAAAATGGGGCCGGGCGCGGTGGCTCACGCCTGTAATCCCAGCACTTTGGGAGGCTGAGGCGGGAGGATCATGAGATCAGGAGATCGAGACCATCCTGGCTAACACCGTGAAACTCCGTCTCTACTAAAAAAAATGCAAAAAAAAAAATTAGCCGGGCGAGGCGGCGGGCGCCTGTAGTCCCAGCTACTCGGGAGGCTGAGGCAGGAGAATGGCGTGAACCCGGGAGGCGGAGCTTGCAGTGAGCCGAGATCGCGCCACTGCACTCCAGCCTGGGTGACTAAGCGAGACTCTGTCTCAAAAAAAAAAAAATAAAATAAAAAAATAAAAAAATAAAAAATGGGCAAATGAGCTGAACAGATCTCTCTTAAAAGAAGACACACAAATGGCTAACAGGTGTTTTGGAATAATGGGCCTCTACAAAGGCCTTGAAGCCAAACTGCTGTAGACAGTTCGCACTGCCGCTTCCATTTATGAGAAACTGATGGTTGCTATCCTCACAGTTATGCGGCTGAAGGGTACAGCAAGCACTGAGATGTCTTACAGTGAAAAGTTCAGAAGACGCTCAAGGTGGAGGATTTTCTTTGAAGCGAAGAGAAGTAATTTTCCTACTACTCTGGCTCCTTCCACCACAAATGTAACCTCTATTGGCTTGAAAAGCATCTAAAGGTAAACAGGAAGTATAGCAGGCTAGACCTGTTGTCAACTTAACTTTTACGATCCATGGTTAGATTTTGGGGTGAAGGTTGAACTAATATGAAAAGAAAACATTATTGAAAATCCCTGGCCGGACGCGGTGGCTCACGCCTGTAATCCCAGCACTTTGGGAGGCTGAGGCGGGAGGATCATGAGATCAGGAGATCGAGACCATCATGGCTAACACGGTGAAACCTTGTCTCTAGTAAAAATACAAGAAATTAGCTGGGTGTGGTGGCGGGCACCTGTAGTAACAGCTACTTGGGAGGCTGAGGCAGGAGAATGCCGTGAACCCGGGAGGCGGAGCTTGCAGTGAGCCGAGATTGCACCACTGCACTCCAGCCTGGGCGACAGAGCGAGACTTCATCTCAAAAAAAAAAAAAAAAAGAGGAAAGAAAAGAAAACCCCTAATAAACTGTCAGCACAAAAGAAAAATCAATTAATCATTCAATCAACCAACCAGTCTGTTCAGACTCAGAGAGAGTTAAGGCCCATCAACTTGAATAGCCTCTCAATCCTATTCCCAATCTTCACTCTGGGAGGTCACTGAATCTATTAAAAACACATACTGAAGGCTCTGCGAGTGGGAATGATTACCAGTCTTAAATAGCTGGTTTCATTTAAATTTTTCTTCCTTTCACCCCACGGGCCAAAGATAAGGACCTATGCCTATAAGCTCTTATACAGCACATCCATTCTCATCTCCGTTTAATAAAGTGGCAAGTCTATCAGTGTTCTAACAGCCTATAGAGGCACATATACATTAAAAAGCAGAGGCTGGGCACAGTGGCTCATGCCACTTTGAGAGGCCAAGGCAGGAGGCTCACTTAACCCAGGAGTTTGAGACTGGCCTAGACAACAGAGGGGAACCCAATTTCTACAAAAAACTAAAAAAATTAGCCAGGCATGGTGGTGTATGCCTGTAGTCCCAGCTACTTGGGAGGCTGAGGTGGGAGGACCACTTGAGCCTGGGAGGTTAAGGCTGCAGTGAGCAGTGATTGTGCCACTACACTCCAGCCTGGGCAACAGAGTGAGACCCTGTGTAAAACAAACAAACAAACAAACAAAAAACCCAGATGTCTAAGGCAAGGACTAAAAAGAATTCACCTCCTTCCAGCTGATCACAGGCTTACTGTGACCTAGGGAAGTTCTTTTTTCCTAAGGCATTGTTCCCCTCACCTATTAGAAGAGACTACTCACAGCAATATAGTGAATCACAAACTTCTTGAGTAAAAATTATGCCTTTTTCATCCCTGTTTCTTTAGTGCAAAATCTGGCACTTAGTAAATCACTTCATGGATGTTTATTAATGAATGAAAACTTCAAATAACTGTTAGTAATATACTAAAATAGAATGCTATTTTAAGATGCTATATAAATAGAGCAGAGACCAAAATAAAACTGGATACTCCATAGAAACAGACTGGTACTAAATGAGAGCTGTGATTGTCCTGACAAATACCACAAAGGCATCACTTTGCCTGTGTTAGACCTGGGGATTAATACTACATAGGATTCGAAGCCCTTATCTGACTGGGCAGGGAGCATAACTCATCAGTGATTCAAGAGAGGGTTCTAAAAGTCCCAGAACGTAAGTCAAACGACTGAAAAAAGCCTTAAGAAATGTTTTCCTTACAGCCAAATATATGAGGATTACCTCTTCCTTATTTAACCTTCACCTCTTTAGTGTCTCTTAACTTTCATTCTTTTCTAGCCTGCTTCCCTCCCCCATTAAAGAAATGGTCTTCTTTTGTTGGCAAACAACGCTTACAAAGATGGTGCTTGTAGCAGAGTTGGTCTCAATTTCACTATCAGACAAAGTGCCCCGAGAGCTTGCCAGGTGAACACTGCCCTCGCCACCTGGTCCGTCACCTGCATTGCTGCTCAAGTCACTGTCAGCTCCAAGAGTCTCTCCAGAGCTATTACTCACCTGGAAAGGAAAAAAGGTAGTAAGAGATAGTCCTCAGGGATGGGCCCCAGAAATGCCAAGCTGTTAGAGCTCCCTGCCACCATAAAAAAGTATTCAATTTCAAAGGTGTGTCAGACAGCCTCTGGAAGTACCTTCTTTATAAGATGAGAAGCTCTGGGTGAAATCTCATGTACACACACTTATGATGCTAAACCTCTCCACCATGAGAACCATGCTGACCTGAGACTCAGAGCAGCCTCCAAAGAGAAAGTAGCGCCCTTTTCCAAAGGGGAAATCCACACCCCACCCACCAAGATGCCAGTGTGGTGTTCCCCTACCACGGTGCTAACTTCAGAATCCTGACTTGAGCTGCGGATCATAACAGCTGGACTCATGCTGATGACAGAGTCTTGATCAGTCCTCTGAAACAAGACACAGGAACATTAGGGGAGGTGTCCAATCTCCTCTCAGTTTCCCACAGAAATACTGTACCTTCTTTCTCCCCATCCCCACCCTTCTGTTATCATCCCTAGAGAAGTCACGAGCAACTTTTGTTTCCGGAATATAAAATATGTACAACTTATATAACAAAAAAAAGAAATAGGCCTGGCACAGAGGCTCATGCCTGTAGTCCTAGCACTTTGGGAGGCTGAGGTGGGAGGATCATTTGAGCCCCGGGGTTGGAGACCAGCCTGGGCAACATGGTGAAACCCTATCTCTACAAAAAAATACACAAACTTAGCCAGGCGTGGTGGTGGGTGCCTGTGGTCCCAGCTACTCAGGATGCTGAGGTGGGAGCATCACTTGAGCCCAGGAGGTTGAGGCTACAGTGAGCTGAGAGCACACCACTGCCCTCCAACCCAAGCGACAGAGTGAGACCCTGTCTCAAAAACAAAAAACAAAAAACAATGCATTAAAAAAGTACATGCTCATTGTAGAAAATACATGAAAGAATAAGGAAATAAGAACAAGTTGTAAATCTACCTCCCACCTTAAGCACTGTTTTTAGTATATTTCCTTTCAGTTTCTTCTCAATACATTTTAAAAATAAAATTGGAATCACACTATATGCAGCTTTGTTAAACATTTTCCCATGTCACTAAATTTTTGAAAACACAACCTTTAATGGATACTAATATTGCATTACATGGATCTATTACACTTATTTAACAATTCCTTATCATTAGATATTTATATTGTTTTGAGGGTTAATTTTTTTTTCTTTTTTTGAGACGGAGTCCCACTCTGTGGCATAGGCTGGAGTGCAGCGGTGCAATCTCAGCTCGCTGCAACCTCTGCCTCCCGGGTTCCAGTGATTCTCCCGCCTCAGTCTCCTGAGTAGCTGGGATTACAGGTGACCGCCACCACACCGGGCTAATTTTTACATTTTTAGTAGAGATGGGGTTTCACCACTTTGGCCAGACTGGTCTCGAACTCCAACTCCTGACCTCAAGTGACCCACCTGCCTCAGCCTCCCAAAGTCCTGGGATTACAGGCATGAACTGCTGCACCTGGCTATTATTTTTTTATTTTTATTTTTTTTTTTTGAGACAGAGTTTCACCCTTGTTACCCAGGCTGGAGTGCAATAGTGCAATCTTGGCTCACCACAACCTCTGCCTCCCAGATTAAAGCGATTCTCCTGCCTCAGCCTCCCAGGTAGCTGGGATTACAGGTATATGCCACCAAGCCTGGCTAATTTTGTATTTTTCATAGAGACGGGGTTTCATAATGTTGGTCAGGCTGGTCTCGAACTCCCAACCTCAGGTGATCCGCCCGCCTTGGCCTCCCAAAGTTCTGGGATTATAGGCGTGAGCCACTGTGCCCGGCCATCTGGTCGTTTTGTTTTTTTTTTAACTTGAAATATTCTGAGACAGCATATTTAATCCTCGTAATTTTCAACAAGGTTGTCACAAACCTGGGAACTAGACGTCAGGCTCACACCACTGTCTGCGCTGATCTGGGACTTTTTCTCCTCTGTCTCACCAAGGTCAAAGACCGGTTTGATTACTTCAGGCCCTGAGTAGGGGAAGACTTCTGTTACTCCGTGCACAAAGGCTAGGGGCAGGCTGGTAAAGGAGGTGGGACAGCAGCACAGGCTGGTCCCAGACCTGTTCAGCCCATCCCAGTCACCTTTCCAAGGACTACTCCCGACTCAGGACCCACTGGAAAAAGAGGTCCCCCTTAAGAACCAAGTAAGACAAATCAGACCTGGTCCCAACGGGTTCTCCAGTCATCTTCTCAACCTGAGAAAATTATGAGCAAATCACCTTAAAACAAAAAAGCTCCACAAGGCTGGGCATGGTGGCTCACGCCTGTAATCCCATCACTTTGGGAGGCTGAGGCAGGTGGATCACCTGAAGTCAGAAGTTTGAGACCAGCTTGGCCAACATGATGAAACCCTGTCTCTACCAAAAAATACAAAAATTAGCCGGGCGTGGTGGTGCACGCCTGTAATCCCAGCTACTTGAGAGGTTAAGGCATGAGAATGGCTTGAGCCCTGGAGGCAGAGGTTGCAGTGAGCCAAGATCATACCACTGCACTCCAGCCTGAGCAACAGAGCACGACTCCATCTCAAAAAAAAAAAAAAGGAAAGTTCCACAAACAAATGTCTAAACCACATTCCATGGCACTCAGAGTCTGAGCTTTGCTGGTACCTGAAACCATTTTATGGTCCCCAGGTCACTTAATGCTTCCCAAACAAATGTGTCTAAAGGAGGTAGAAAAGGTTGGGCCCGATGAGATAAGAAACACCAGCTGTTTTGGTGGGCACTGCCCACCTCCATCTACGTTTGAGATAAAAACCACCCCCCTTGTCCCCCACCCACCCACAATGGTATGGCAGAAGGACAGAATGACAGAAAGCAAGAAAGCGTGCCTAGGCAAGCCACCAGAGAGTTGGGCAGCTACAGACTCAACACGGAGGGACAGCAACCATCTCTGCCAACTGTGCCCACAGGCCTTCTAACAGGTGAGGGAGATATCAGCCAATGGGGGGCACTAAAATAGGCAAACGTTCTCCCCACCAACTCTGAAGCAACAGAGAACCAAGTTCTGGGGAGTTGTATTCAGTAGACACCTGGTTATAACCTGATTGACACGAGGGGAGGAGGAAAGAAGCGGCCTACGTGCCACACGCCTAGGAGTCACATGCTACCTACCTGCTGCCATTCCAAACACCCTCTAAGAGCAAATTTGGGGTGGGGCTGACAAAGGGAGCCTGCCCCAACTGGGCCTGGGGAGTTGGCAGGTATGGGAGACTTGGGAACAGGAAAGGGCATTTGTTCCTTACTCTGTTTTTCCAAAGCTTTTTGCTTTTTCACTTCCTGGTGCTTGTTCCACAATTCTACCCCAGATGCAATGCAAGCAGGAGAGAAAGACAGAGAGTCAGAGGCTGGTCAGACAGATGAAATGGAAACCCACCCACCCAAGTCAATTCAGTCTCAGGCACTGGATTACCAATCAAGAGATACAAAGATATCTTCATGGGGAGAAGGGGCAGAAAACAAGACATCTAACCCCTCCACCCAAAATCATGAACAGATTCCAAATTTCCAATTCCAATCCCAATGTGCCAGTAAAAACCCTGCAGAATGTTAGAGCTGGAAGGGCCCTTAACAAAGCTCCTTCATTTTTGCATGAGGAAACTGGTCCTAAAGAGGCTGGAGCACTTGATCAAGATCACGTAACTTAGGATCCATTTAAACTCCCACCATGCCACACTCTCTCTGCCAAATGAGCTGGGGAAGGACAATTTTTACAGATTCCAGATGAGAGAGACGAACACCTCAAGCGGCCAGAGTTTCAGAAGCATGAACACCAATCTGTTTGATTCACTGGACTGGACAGAGGCCAATTCATGCAGGCAGTTAGCACCCCTCCTCATTGCTCCTCAAGAAACTGCAGGCAGTTAGCACCCCTCCTCATTGCTCCTCAAGAAACCACTCACCCCCAGAGCCAGTGCCTGCACTACCAACCAGCAATCTGGAAAAATGCTTCCAGCTGAGGTGACAGAGAACATAAAATGGTCAAGACCAGCATCCTCATACAGGAAAACAGAATGGCAACCACAGCAATTCTTTTCCTGGAAGGAACTTCAGAGTGTACTTAGTATGATTTCCTTATTTCCGTATGATTTCCTCATTTCCCAGGTGAAGAGACAGAGACCCTGAGAGGGGAAGTTATTTGCCCAAAGTTGCATTCCTAGCTGGAGGCTGATATGGGACTAAAACTCCAGACCTCCATACTAGCAGGTCAGTACTTTTTCTAGAACATCATATGAGGCAGGAGAAAGCCAGGAGTTGACTGCTACTAGAATAATATTCTGCTGGCTAGGAAAGTGTAGCTCCCCTAAAAAGGAATCAGTTCCACATCACCATTTATGGGAGCACATGGCAACTGCTAATGGCCATGGCAATGAAACATCAGCTAGAAGCAGAGTGCCTAGGGACCTAGAACCAGAAAAAGAAAGATCCAACCTCGATGACTCAAGGTCAAGCAGGGAGTGAGCCAAACAGAGGTGATGCCCAGAAAGCTCACTAAGGCACGGCCTTTGTGGGAATGGAGAAACACCAAATGTAAACAAGATTTTAATCAAGTCCATGAGGAAGCATTTAAAGAACTGACTTGGAAACCTATACCTCAAAGATCCAGAACCCAGGGAAATGGGGTTGCCAGACATGGCCCAGAGGAGCACATTCCAGAGCAGTGTAATGGCTGGATGGGAGGACACTGGCTTCAGAGACACAAATGTCGTTTGTATAGCCCAAAGATGCATCTATAAACTTCCTGAAATTCTCTCCACTATGTGAAGAAATGCAGATGTAAATAAAAAGAGTGGCCAGGAGTACAGCTCACACCACCTGCAGTAAGCCTTACTGGGCCCTCTAAACAAAACCTCCATTCTTCCTCTAAGATACAGGGTGAGCGGTGGCTGTGGATGAAATATAAAGACTAGAGAAGTACAAAGAAACACCACTAGAAATGGACACAGGTCTCCTTCTCTCTCTAGGAAGCAAAGCATGGGGCAGAGAAAGGCAGGATTCTGGATGAATTGAGGAGAAAGGGATATTTAAGAAGCCAGGACCCCTCTACCGCACCAAACACACTGATACGTACCAATAGACGCTATAAAATTTTCTTCCTTTAAACTTCTGGTGTCCAGTTCCTTAGGACCCTTTCCTGTGGCACTTGGTGCCCGAGGTCCCACCTGGGGAACTCTCAGCTGTGCCATAGCCTTTGGGTCCCCCCGCCCAGCTAGGCCAGGATCCTTGCCAACTGGGGTATTTACACTTTCTGTTGGACTTCTCTTCCGCTTGTCTGGTTCTGAGAGGAAAAAATCAAGAGGTCAAGAGAAGTAATGAGTAGGAATCAAGGCGCAGACATGAGGTGGGAGGAGCCAGGATACAGAAGGGTGTGGAATGAAGGAGTTCAGGGAAAGATGAGCTGATGTCTTATTTTTCATAACAAAAAACACTCACTACGTATAAACATACATAGAAAATAAAACCCCAAAGCCAGATGGGAAGCAGCATGGCACTGGGAAATCTGTCCTGGGGACAAATATATTTTCTCTTTGGGAGACAAGTGGGAGAGTTGGGGATGGCATGGTGCCCAGCAGATACAATCCCTACCTTTACTATAGTAGTGGGTCTGGGCGATCTCCAGAAGCCCAAAGATGCTGGCCATGCCACCCAGACCCGCATGGGCATAGGACTGCTCCAGGCTGAGGATTGTACACTTGAGGAGGTCTAACATTCCCTTGTACACCTTCCGACTGACCTCCTGCAACAATAACCCAGGGGCTAGCGTTGGCAAATTGCCTTTGGTATTCACATCCCTCTCCCCAGTTACTCTGACTCCCTACCCCCAACACTGACCACATCCGGGATAATGTCCTGCCGGGCATCGTCCTCTGACTGCACCGTGCGGTTCAGCTTGCTCAGGACAAAGACTCGCAGTTGCTCGCTCTCCAGGAGCCGGCGCACCTTTTTCATGTTGAGCCAGCCAACTCCCTGGCCGTCCAGCACGTTGTGTACCACCTCCTTCAGGAACTGCTGGTTCTCACTACAGGGTCCACACACCACTTCTGTGGTCACCAGCTCCTTTGCAGAGCACCCCCCACCTTTCACCCAGACTAGATGCCTGCCTCCAGGGGTAAAACACAAAGCCACATCTCTGAATGTCCAAGTCCACCACATCCCCCAACTCTCCGGAGAACCTGATTTGCCCAAATACCCACCACTGCTGATTCACCCCGCTCAACACTGTAAGCTTTCAGTTGCATGGAGATCAAGCCAGAATGAGAAATGCTGGCAAGAAATTGATTACATCTACCCCATTGAGAGCTTCTCTCCCACTCTATCCCTAAAGTTCTGCAGAGGAACCACCCCACCTCTACCTGAGAACTTTTAAAACAGCTCTACCATTTATTACCTAGAATTGCTGGATCGACCCTGGGGTGATGGAGGTTCTCTTTTCACTGTTGGGCTGTGTTTAATGACAGATGACTTCTGATCCACTAATGCCCTCCTGTTTCCTGTGGCAGGGGAGGCAGGAATGAGAGACATCACTATTATAGTGCAGGAGCTCATGCCAGCACAGCCCTGAGTAGCCATGTTCCACGCCCGTTCTCAGAAGGGCTGGGTGAGGGTAGCACCAAGGCATCATACGTAGGTAGAAACCAGCCATGGCAATGTGGAGGAGGTGGGGATGGAGACTCAGGCCACTCCACATGCACCAGCAGCACGCCCCATGGGCAAGCATGGGCGTCACAGGGAACGGGGCAAGCAGGTCACTCATGTGATGCTGCTAGCTCCATGAGAAGGATGGCCCTCGGGCAGGCACAGAAGATGCTAGAGAAAAAAAAAAAGATCATGCACAGCTCACAGGCAAGACCCACCTTCACCACTCCCGGGGCCGGCTTCAGTAACAATCTCCATTAGAGTATTTAGCCCAAATACTGGGACACAAAATACACAATTAGTAGGTGCACCACAATACCGCAACCCCTCTACCCCTCCGAGGAGCAGTAAGCCAGATAATCTGAGCATTCTCCCAAAGCTTGAGGAATGCACATAACCTTGGTTCTCGGGCACCTCAGAGCTGGAAGCCAAGTGACCAGGAGACAACCAAGGCTCTAAGAAAAGACCATCCTTAAGACGTGGCCTCTCAAAGCCAGGGGCGGGTAAATGACACAGGGAGGCTTCAGGTACTGCACAAACACATGCATGAAAGAGGGACCGCTGGTTTTCAGAAAACATCCAGCACAGGGGGTCAGGGGCCTGAGGGCATGTGCAGGGAAGCGACCCATCTTGCAGATGCTGTTGTTGGGAGTGGGGGTCAGGGCATGAGGATGGGAGGTGGGTGAGAGGGTAAGTGCAGCAAATGCGACAATGCATCAGCATGCAATGAAAGAGTTTCAATTGCTCTCCTCTTCAAATGTACCAAATGAAGGCCAGTGACACTGACACCCTTCCATCCCTAGCCTACTCGGCCACATGTGGATTCCCCGGCAGTGCTAGTTCACTCCTTACACTACCAGCTCTGATGTCCCTTTGCCCATTTATCCAGTGTTCCCATCACCACCTAAGAACATGCCTTAGACTCCTGACAATGTTATTTGCTTGTTTCTGTTGGTTTCTTTTAGAGACAGGGTTTCACTCTGTCGTCCAGGCTGGAGTACACTGGCCTAATTATAGCTCACTGTACCTCAAACTCCTGGGCTCAAGTGAACCTCCTGCCTCAGCCTACCAAGTAGCTAGGATGACAAGTGTGAGCTACTGCACCCAAGTAACCTGACATTTTTTACCAATAGGAATGAGAGGTCAGTTAAAGAATACATGAGGTTGGCTGGGCGTGGTGGCTCACGCCTGTAATCCCAGCACTTTGGGAGGCCGAGACGGGTAGATCACGAGGTCAGGAGATCGAGACCATCCTGGCTAACACAGTGAAACCTTGTCTTTACTAAAAATACATAAAATTAGCTGGGCGTGGTGGCAGGCGCCTGAGGTCCCAGCTACTCGGGAGGCTGAGGCAGGAGAATGGCGTGAACCCGGGAGGCAGAGCTTGCAATGAGCCGAGATTGCGCCACTACACTCCAGCCTGGGCAACACAGCAAGACTCCGTCTCAAAAAAAAAAAAAAATAGAATACATGAGGTTGCTTCTCACTGCACTTCCTACCACAGTTAAATATTTCGGCACACCATCCAGAGAAAACAAAAAAATCAGGCCAGGTGCGGTGGCTCACACCTGTAATCCTGGCACTTTGGGAGGCCGAGGTGGGCAGATCACTCAAGGTTAGGAGTTCAAGACCAGCCTGGCCAACATGGTGAAACCCCATCTCTACTAAAAATACAAAAATTAGCTGGGCGAGGTGACGTGCGCCTGTAATTCCAGCTACACGGGAGGCTGAAGCATGTGAATCACTTGAGCCTGGATGGCAGCAGTTACAGTGAGCCAAGATCGCCACCCTGCACTCTATCCAGCCTGGGATGTGACACTCTGTCTCAGGAAAAAAAAAAAAAAATCAAATTCAGAAAAGCCCCTGAAACTGTCAGATGGCACAAGCCAAATTCAAATAAGGTCTTTTTATTTTTTAAGATAGAGTCTTGCTCTGTCGCCCAGGCTGGAGGGCAGGGGCATGATCTCAGCTCACTGCAAGCTCCGCCTCCCGGGTTCACGCCATTCTCCTGCCTCAGCCTCCCAAGTAGCTGGGACTACAGGCACCCGCCACCACACCTGGCTAATTTTTTTTTGTTTTCAGTAGAGATGCGGTTTCCCCATGTTAGCCAGGATGGTCTTGATCTCCTGACGTCGTGATCCACCTGCCTTGGCCTCCCAAAGTGCAAGTGCTGGGATTACAGGTGTAAGTCACTGCGCCTGGCTTTCAAATAAGGTCTTAACTGCACCTAGAAACTAACAAATACTACCTGGCGCGCTCACAAGCCCTGGGTTGACAGGCTTATGAGTGCGTGAGAGGTGAGAGGCTGTGCTCTATAAATGCTGCCAGTCTCTCCATAACCATTCTCTGGTGGGCCAGCTCCTTGGCATGGAGTTTGTCCTAAGTTCATGCAGTGGCAACCCAGCAGACGACTGGAGGCGGCTGATGATCCCTATGTTAATCACGTACCCTGACAGGGTCCTCCCGAGAAGCAGCAGTAATCCCACAGCTGCCATTGTCCTAAATGACATAACAGGGCCCTCTCTAGCTACGAAGATGGTTTCCATTTGACAACCATCGGAGCCCAAGATGTGCAGTGAAAGCCATGAGGAGCAACATGAGGGATGACAACCAGGTCAAAGGATTCACCAGACACAGGGCTCCTGACATGAACCCACAGCCTGAAATATCTCCCGGAGAAACCTGGCTTGGCAAAAGGAAGGCTGTAGTTACCTTTCAGACTGGGGAAGGGTGTGGCCTTCTCTCGGACACCTTTGGTGGGCAGTGTGAGGTTTGAAAGACTGAAGCTGGTACTGTGGTTCCGATAGAGGCTGCCTATCAAGGGGAGGGTTTGAGAATGATGACTTGGCAGAGTAAGTAATCAAAGCATTAGACTAATGACTATCAGCATCTGCACCTCCCTCCTTTCCAAACACAATCCCAGTTTGATGGATCAGATCATCTCTGATCTGTCTTAGAAAGGATCAAGTCTAACTCCAGGCAAACAATGGAGCCATTGCCAGGAGCAGCCAAAACCCAGTAACAGCTTTCTCTGTCCACCTCACATGATAATATCCGAGTCTCTCATCTACTGCTGCACAGCATGAAAGCAGGCAGTTAACGGGCTTCTAGTCTGAAGCTGGCACTGTTCCTCCCTGGCTGCTGAAGAAACTCACGATAACAGGGATCCTCGACGTTGGCTCTCTCTAGTCCATAGTCTGTCTTCAATCTTTAACTGATACCACCCCACACTGCTGGAAATACTCTCTAAGCACAAAATTCAATTTCGTATCAATTTCAAAGCACATTCACGGAAGAGTCCGTTATGAGGCAAAGAAGATACCAGATATAGACTCAAATCAAATTTGACCAGAGTATTTCCACTAAATATAAGTACAAGTGTGTGATTCTGAATTTACTGCCTGTTTTCCAGTTACCCATCCAGCTCTTACCTGAAATAGACTGAAACGACCAGGCATAATGATAATGACTAATCTGTCCCTGTCCTTTACTGCCCTCACTTGAAAACACCTTATTCAGTATCACCCAAATGACTGAATTAGAGCTTGCTAATGCTAACCTAGCCCTACATGTGAAGTTCTAAACAACATTTGCGATAGTCAGGCTCTGCTGTAGAGAAAATGGAACACAGGAATGAGAGAGACAGCTGAAGGCACTTACTGGCAAAAGACATGATGCCCCCGAAGCCCTCGGTGCTGGTGTTGGAGACGGTGGAGTTGGGAGAGCTTGCCCGAGAGTCTGACTCTGCATCTGAGTCACTTGCCAGTCTCAAGCTGTTGGGCCGCAGCAGCTTTTGAGCCCTTGAATGCACAGTGGCACCTATGAGCCCCAGGCAGGGGTACTTGACCTTGGGAGTATGAGCCTTATGCTACACTGCAGCTGCTGCTCCCTTCCTGTAATTCCTAAACCCCTGGATCAAAACACCACCCTCTGGGGATGGCAGGACCACGAGAGCATTCAGACTTAGACTTTCTGATTAACCCTCGCCCAGGGTCCACTGAGGTGAGGTCCTTCAGTCACCCATCTAGAAGGGATCCCCAGGCTCTCACCGATTGCCACTGACATGTTGGCTGAATCGGGGAGTGTAACTTTCCCCCTGCTCATCCTCATCTTCCTCAGGGGGAAAGCCATATTGGGGCTCGAAGTATGGATTGTCATAGATTCGTCGGCGCACTGACCCCTCTCCAATTTCTGCCTGACGTCTGTCCACGTTCGACTTGCCAATGCTGGGAGGCACGGAAGGGAGGGGCTTGGAGACGCCTACTGCTGCCTTATCATCCATCTCCGTAGAGTCAGCAGGTTCCTGAAGGCCACATGAAATTAAAAGTGGTTAGCTGGTGCCCAATGGTACCTTCCTGTAATCCCAGTTTGGCAGCGCTGGACCAGGCCTGTCAGATTTCTAGCCTAAGGAATGTGTGGGAAACGATCTCTGTGGCACCTGTTCTCTGTCCCCACAAACTATATAAGGGAGATCACAGTTGTACCCTGAACAAAGCCTGATGAACTCCTTTTGGGGTCAAAACTAGGTCTCTTAGGCTGTAAGCTCTAGGGCCCACGAAGAGGAAGATGAGAAAATTGTGTGAGAAGAAGCAAATGAATAGCTACAGCCTGGCTTTCCTAATAGATGAGGCCCACATCCCAGGCCATGGTTCTCACTCATCCACCACTCCTCACTTACAGAGTTGGCTCCGTGGATGATGGTGCTGGGGCTACTGCTGGCAGTGGTGCTGGAGCTGGAGCGCAGTGGGGGGTTTTCCTGAGAGTTCTCACTGTCTAGGCCAGGCTCTTCTGTTTCCTTCTGATTCTGCAGCTCGTCAATCTCCACCTCGCTGGCATCCCCCAGTGCTGCATGCGTCAGAGGGTCCACATCTGCCAAAATCCAAGGGAGGCAGGTAGAGACCACCCCATCCCTAGACCCCCAACCCCTGCCCAGGGCTGGCCAATCTCCCCAAACACACTTACTGGGAGTATCACCATTAATGTCACATTTCATCATTTCACTGACAAAGTCACCAAGGGAGGAGTAAGAAGAGCTTGAATCGTCATAATCCATACTATCACTGCCACTGCAGAGTGAATTGCATAAAAAACAAAACAGAAAGGGGCAGGGAGAACACCTGCAATCAGCACTAGGAAAAATAAAAGGGGGAGCACTCTGAACGCAAGGCCAGGGTACAAATCAAATAAGGAAGCCAAGAAAAACAGTCAACCAAAGCATAAAGACTGATAATGGGGGCTGGGACAGTGGCTTACGCCTGTAACCCCAGCACTCTGGGAGGCTAAGGCGGATTGATCACCTGAGGTCTGGAGTTTGAGAGCAGCCTGGCCAACATGGTGAAATACCATCTCTACTAAAAATACAAAAAGTAGCCGGGCGCAGTGGCTCACGCCTGTAATCCTAGCACTTTGGGAGGCCGAGGTAGGTGAATCACTTGAGGGCATGAGTTTGAAACCAGCCTGGCTAACATGGTGAAACTGTCTTTACTAAAAATACAAAAAATTAGCTTGGCGTGATAGCATGTGCCTGTAATCCCAGCTACTCAGGTGGCTGGGGCAAGAGAATCGCTTGAACCCAAGAGAGAGCTTGCAGGGAGCCAAGATCATGCCACTGCACTTTAGCCTGGAAGACACAGTGAGACTCCATCTCAAAAAATGTATATATACAAAAATTAGCCAGGTAGTCCCAGCTACTTGGGAGGCGGAGGCAGGAGAATCACTTGAACCTGGGAGGCGGAGGTTGCAGTGAGCTGAGACGGCACCACTGCACTCCAGCCTAGGTGACAGAGCGGCAAGACTGTTACACATGAAAAAAAAAAAAGAAATAAAATTTAAAAAAAAATACTGATATGGGAAGCCTATGAGATTGCCTCTTCTGTGCTAAAGAAGGGCTAGTGAGAGCCTCTTCACCTTAAAAACCTTTTTGCTACCCTAAGCAAGGAGTGCTCACCTATCATCAGTAGGTTCGGAGTCGGAGGTCCCGCTCCTGGTGGGTACACTCAGGGCCTCAGCCAGCTGGGAATTGCTGTCATAGACGCGATAGTGGATAGGCTGCAGCCTGATGAGCATACACTTAGGCTTGTCACCAATCAGGGCTGATCAAACATATCTCCCCATGAGGGAAAGAATAGAAGTCAGCAGAAAGGAAAAAAGGCAAGCAATGCCTGAAAGAAGAGCAGGGAAAAGTCTAAGCAGAGCAAGGACAGAAGGCACAGGTCAAAGATGAGCAAAGGAAAAATTCAAAAGTCCATCAGAGGCAAGAGGCAGAAGGCAGAGCGGAGCAGGAGGGCAGGTGGACTCACTGTTGTGAATCGCTGAAAGGCATAGTTGGTGGGGGTTAAGGATCATTCCCCAAAGTACTCACAGCCTTGAGTCCTGGCCAATTTCTCAGCAAAAGGAGTCTGGCGGGACGTGACGCTAGAAAAGAGACCAGGCTTGAAAAGCTTACCACAGGCCGAAGGGAGAGGCGCAGGGTACGGTGTGCATCTGAAATCCCTGCAGCACGTTGGGCAGAGTTGAAGAACCGTACCATGGCGACCCTGGGGAAGCAGATGATGAGATAATTTGAGACCCATTCCCTGTAGGGTAACGGATTCCAAGATCCAAAGTCTCAGACACCGTCCCAAAGCCATCACTTAACAGGTTCCAAGGGGAGAGACCCTTTTTTTTCTGAGACAAGAGTCCTGCCTGTTGCTCAGGCTGAGTGCAGTGCGGC